GACTTTTTGCTTATGTGTGTAATCAAAATGAAGAGACCATGAGCTGACTCTTATTGTGTACATGTGCTATCTCATATAATTGTAAGGTCATTGTTTATTTACAGGAAAATATGTGAAAACCACATGCATTTATATATAGAGACACATGCACATTAGTTCGCTTGAGGATACCATCCTAGATCACACATTCTATATATATAGTCTACTAACATGCTCTGGTTGATCTTCGTCATTATCGGTGTCCTCTTCTTGTTCCTCGTCGTCTTCATCATTTTCATCATCATCCCCTGCACTCTCTTCAATATCATTACCATTATCCCCTGCATCCTCTATGTGTTCCCCCGTGTTCTCGTCATCGTCCTCATTGTCGTCTGAATCATCTTCCTCGTCCTCATTCTCGCTATTCTCAAACTCCTCTTCCTCTACATCGTCTCCTTCCTCTTCAGATTCTTCATAAATATTTGCCTCCTCCCCGTCGCCCTCGCCCTCTGCTTCATCCTCTTCCTCGTCCTCACCGTCTTCTCCCTCCTCCTCCTCTTCCTCTTCTACATCTTCTATGTCCTCTTCTAAGTTATCACTACTTTCCTCATCAGATCCACCTGCCAAGGGGCCTAGGAGATTCTCTGTTCTCAACTCTGCAAGCATAATGACTGAAAAAAAGAGAAAAGTTTTAATGGTGATACTCAGAGTAATTGATTAAAAGAAAAAGAATATACAGAAGCAGATGATTTCTAAATAAAAATAATGAAAAACAAAATGAAATAACCTGAAGACGCACAAATGGTAACTCCACAAATAAATTTTTAAAAATGCAAAAGCGCTGCTGCCAGCCGAAGTCCATTCAGTGCTCCTGAGTTTCAGCTTTATCTTGCCATGCATACCGAAGTGAAGACAATATTTCCTGGGGAGTGTTAGGGGGCAGAGATTCCAATCAACCTGCCCATTCACAGCAACTTTAATTGATGAATACATTTTTTGATGTGGAGTTGGGGACTTAGTCTTTGGTGAGTGCATCTATACTGTAAAGAATTACCTCATCTTCAATTTGCCCTACCCCAGATTAACCATAATTACTTCTATAGTTTGATGAGCTAGCACCCTCCCCCCCATCCCCACTGAATAGCCCTGGGGGAATTTAAGGAAAATCAGGGTGTTGGGAGAATGAGGGCACACAAAATGTAAAAGATGCATTTGATTTCTACCTAACAAAATAAACATGTAAACTGTTAGATTTTGTTACAGTTGTACTCCCATATTGTGTCCTGTGTGGGCAGTGATTGTGGCCACTTACTGGACTGAATATCAAAGAATTATTTTTTACCAATAAAAACTCTTTTCTTAGCAAATGCACATTAGTTTTCAATTTGTATAGGATATGCCATAGATGAAGTGTTTTAGATTTCATCAATTGACACCTTAAACTGTATATCATGAAAGTCTGACTGATATGTACTAAACCTTTACCATCAGAGTTTGGACTGATCTTAACTGACAGCAAGACTTACCTTGCCAGAATATACATATACTATTTGCTATCCCTTTTCTGGTGCTGAAGGTACAGAGGCAACAGTGAAAGCTTGAGTCACTAAAACAGTATCTTTGATAAGGGACTGTAGGCTTTCTGCAAATTGTTTTCTATAGCTAATTACGTTGTCTTGTATGTTCTATAATGTCATTACTTTTGTTTCTCTGACCTTGTTTTGAGATTTGCCCAAATTATCATTCTTTTTATACCTTTTAATCTTTCTGTCCAAGTGCTTTTGGAATAGTTTGTTTCACACAGCCATATGTTATAAGATAAATTGGTATAGGTTACTGAGAGTGACAATTCCATCTTATAGAGCATAAGAAACAGAATAAGAAAAAACATAGTTAAGTTGCAGCAGCCGCATATTAACCAGTAAATGACAAAAAAATCTGCTGCATATCACCGCTCAGAGACTAAGTCTATAACACCCTCACATAGCCAGAGTTCTTGATGTCTGTTTTCTATTGGCTGGTACGAAACACTAATAGTTGGGGGTTACAAGGGGAATAAAATGAAGGCAGGAATGGTTAGGTTGGGTGTTTGGGTTCGCATAATACCCTGGTTTTGGGACTTAGTCTCTGGAGGGTGTGTCACTCTCGGCAACAGTAACTGATCAATTTTGCTCATAATGGACATAAAAAAAAGAAAGACAAGAAAAAGAAAAAAAGGAACTTTATCTATGACATTTTCTATGCAAGTTGATTATAAGAAATTTATGCAAAACATAATATCTTAGCATATATCCACATAATAAGTGACCTAAGATTGGGATGATCTATTGACAAAAACTAAACTGAATCATACATGAAATAATGGTCTAGATAAAGAATAATGCCAAATATGAAAAAAATAGGTTGCAACAAATGGGAAAATTGAATATGATATACTTATAGAGGACAAAAAGTTGCAGTCATTGTTATCAGAAATAATCTGGGCTATTATATTTAATTGGCAGACATGAGCAGTAATACC